TGTCTTTCCTGGTATGCCACACATCCATCTCAACATCCTTATTTCAACTACTTTCATCTTCTGGACATAGGACTTCTTGACGGACCAGCACTCATCCCCATACAACGTAGTCGGCCTAACCATCATTTTGTAGAACTTTCCCTTAAGTACAGGTGGCACATTCTTATCACACAAAATCCCCGAGGCGAACCTCCATCTCATCTACCCCGCATCAATACGATGAGTAACATCCTCGCCAATCTTCCCATTGCCTTGGATAATAGACCCAAGATACTAGAAACTATCTCTTTTGGGATTGACTTGAGTATCAGTCTTCACCTCCACTTCTTCTCCATGCATCCCATCACTAAACTTGCACTCCAGTACTCGGTTTTTGACCCACTCAACTTGAAACCTTTAGACTCCAGTGTCTATATCCAAACTTCTAACCTAGCGTTAACTCTGCCTCGTGTCTTGTCAATCAGTACTATGTTATCAGCGAATAGCATACACCATGGCACCTCCCCTTATATTTGTCGCGTCACCACATCTAACGCTAAGGCAAACAAAAACGGGCTAAGAGCCGATCCCTGATGCAACCCTATCTCCAACGAAAAATTATCCAGGTTTTCTCTCACAATCCTCACCTGAGTCTTCGCTCCCTCGTACATGTCCTTAATCACCCTAATATACGCCACCGAGACACCGCTAGCCTCCATACATCTCCATAGGACCTCTCTCGGGACTTTATCGTAGGCCTGATCTCTAGATCAATGCATACCATATGCAAGTCTTTCTTCCTCTCCCTATACTGCTCCACCAATCTCCTCACAAGGTGAATGGCTTCTGTAGTAGACCGTCCCGGCATAAATTCGAACTGGTTCTCGAAAATAGTAACACTACGTCGCACCCTCCTCTCCCCCACCCTCTCCCAAACATTCATAGTATGACTCAGCAGCTTGATACCCCTATAGTTGTTACAGTCCTGGATATCACCTTTGTTTTTATACAACAGGATCATCAAACTCCACTGCCAATCTTCGGGCATCTTCTTCATTTTGAAAATGATATTAAACAAATCAGTAAGCCACTCTAAACCTGCCCGACCCACTTCCTTCTAAAATTATACCGGGATCTCGTCAGACCCAGTTGTCTTATCCCTGCCCATTTTCCGCATTGCCCCCTCAACCTCCTCGCTCCTAATACGCCTACATAACCCAAAATCCCTCTAACTCCCTGAGTTATCCAAGTCACCTAGCACGATGTTCCTGTCCCCTCCCTCGTTCAAGAGTCTATGAAAGTATACAACAATAAGTTCATATTTAATATAAATACAGATACGCGTGTGTATATATTTATATACTAAAAAGTTTCACTTCTATTAAATTCAAATCGATCGTATTCAATGAGCTAGCATCCACAACCTTGGATCATCCATAGTTCAACATACATGTAAAATTTTCATGTCTCGAAGAAGCATGATAATAAATAGGCTTGAATTTTCTTCTTGAAATTATATGTCAATATAATTAATCATCATCCACGTGTCGTCAATAAACTTTTGTATAAGGAGTATATAAGATTAGAAATAAGTTGTTTTTTGACATATCACAATTGCTTTCATGACCATCTTGGTTTTGTACAAAAAAAAAATATAATAAATTAAACACAAGAGCATGTAACTTGTAATCCATTAATCTGATCTGTTCAGTGCCAACTCTACGTCCATGATCATCTTTTCACTGGAGTAATAATTAATAGGCTTAAATTATGTATTCATGAACATGCACATGCAAAAAAATATAGAAAGCGCACAAATTTGGCATATGAAGGCCCTCACCTACTTACCTATATGCTTAGAACTTTAAATACGTTAGTAAATTCTTTTCGCCATTAAGAATTAATACGTTAGTGGCAAATCAAGAATTTTGCTAAGAGGTTTCAAAAGTGTTTAAAAATGTATATGTGTGTAACGACAATAATGTTTTATATGTATATAAACCGTATATATAAATTGGATAAGGATATTTAATTGATCATCTTTTGCCACTGTGACTTACATATGTTAAAATCATGAAATTTGACTAAGAAGAAAGTCAAATTAAAAGAAATGAAATAAATGAAAAGTGGAAAGAGGAAAAGGTGTTGAATATGTAGATATTTTATAGATCCCTAAAGCCATCTCCAATGCTAGCATCATTTTTTGCACTAAATTTCACACCAAAATGGAGTAATACCAAATTTACTCCAACCGTTACGCCATTTTTTACACCAAATCTTCTCTCTCTTCTATATTATATTATTATCTTCTATTTACTTTTCATTTTTTTTTCCTTCAATAAAAATATATTATAATTAAAGTACATAAAAGGAGATTTGGTGTGAAATTTGGTGCAAAAAATGTACTTTAATTATAATGTATTTTTATTTTATGTATTGTTAATTTTCTTTTTTAAATTTTAGTTTTCACTTTTCAATTTTAGCAACATTAGATATCTTACATTCGCATTTTTTATTTTTAAATAATGGTTATATTTCTTTTTATACAATTATAATAATAATAAAATTAACTTATAATTTTATATGAATATAATATATACAAAGTTTAATATATCAAAAAATAGGATATAAAATTAAAATTATAAAGATCTTAATATAAAAATTAATTATATACCCAATATATAATAAATTAAAATTACAAAAATAAAAAGATTGAATAAAATATTAATAAACCAAATATAGAGTGATGAATAGTGTTGCACCAAATTTGGTGCAGCACTATTCATGCTCTATAATAGTGCAAGAAATAATATTGCATTGGAGCAAAAAAATACCATTTCTTGCACCAAATTTGGATTTGGTGCAAGAAATAGAGTAGCGAAGGAGATGGTCTAAGGTATTAGCAATAGGCAATTTGGAGTAATTTTATTTTGTGCCTCACACAACTTACACTAGTTGTGTGAGGTCTCTTTTTATCTCACATATTTGTGGACTCATATCTTACATATCTGGGTCCACAAAATTCTAGGACCACACAGTTATGAGACAAAGAAAAAGCCTTACATAACTAGTATCGGCACAAAATAAAAAATTTCGACAATTTGGCATGCAATAATAGGGCAAAGAAAGGAGTGGTCCTCTGGCCATTGGATGCCAAATTATAATTAAAAGGATCGACTCGACGAACAAGATCTACTTTGTGGGACCATTTTCAGTCTGAGCCCCCAACCAAAAAAAATAGGAGTATTACTACTTGTGTTACTACTACAACTCAAATAAAAATTCGAGTTCCCATTAATATAGGACCTGTTTATCTATAGATATTTTTTTCCGATTTTTTTCAAAAATTTATTTTCCATCAAAATTTTGTAAGTTTTTGAATTTTTTTTGTTTTTAAAATAACAAACCACTTTCTCAAAATTTTCAGAAATTTTTGTTTCCCCATTCACAAAACTGCAACATTTTTTCAAGTAAAATGCATGTCCAAACATAATTTTAAATATTAAATAATGTTTTTAACTTAACTCAAAATACTAATTTTTTTTTCAACAATTATAAGTTTTATGTCCAAACGCCTACTTAGATTTGCCGGGGTAAAGCTTATTTAAGGAAAAAGTATTTTCTACCAGGAATTCTTTTACAAATTTTTTTCAATTTATGAGAGAAAGAAAAAGAGAGACAAAAAGAGAGGCAAAACAAAAGAAGACAGTTACCACCAAAGGATGTGGTGCAATGGACGGGACTGCTCTTCCCTTAACCAGAAGTCTCGGGTTCGAGCCCTGGGTATGGAAAAATCCTTGGCAGGGAGCACTTCCTCCCGAAAGTGGCCCTACGCGACGCGAATCCGGATATAGTCGGGCTCCAATGCGGGTACTGAACACCGGGTGGGAAACCAAAAAAAAAAAAAAAAAGACAGCCAACAAGTTGAGTTTGCACTACAAACTTTATGTCTCATTGCAGAACCAAAATATGCATATGGAAAGTTAATACTTTTATTTGTATTTGTTCATCCACGGACAGACATCTTCTCCATGTGCATGTTACACAAAATTTGGTCTCAAATCATGCAATTTTTGTTCTTTTTCTACAATTTTCTTTCTCTCTCTTCCTTTTTTTCGTGTTCTAACTTTCATTAATATGAAAAAACAATCACTGCTTACTCAGGAGAAGTCATAGTTCATTTCAAAACATAAATGAGAGGTTTTTTTGTTGGTTCAATAAGTGAGAGTTCCTATCTCTTTTTACATTCTACTTAGATTTCATAAGGAGGGGACCTTGTCTTAATTGGTGAAGTTGCTGTCACGTGAGTAGGTTCTTATGGGTTCGAGTCGTGAAAACAGTTTTTTACAAAAATATAGGGTAAGGCTACATACAGTAAACCCTTGTGGTCTGGCCCTTTCCCGAATCCCGCAATAGTAAGAACTTAGTGCATCGAACTTCCTTTTTTTTAAACTTAAATTTCAGAAATGTAAAATATATTTCATTGTCATAGTAGCACTTTTAACCATCAAGGCAAGAGAACAAATTCTAAAAATAGGTCAAATACAGCATAAGCAAGAACTATTCTTGAAATAAGCCAAAATAAGAATATTATGAACACAATTGACTAGGTTCTCATGGAACTCCGATATATTATGAAATTCCAGCACATTATACTAGAATCTCATATGTAAAAAATTCGAACTCCGGCATATTATATGCTAATTTTTTCAGATTTTTAAGGGTGTTTTTGTTCAGATTTTATCTTTATATAAAAAAGTGTCTGAATTTAAATTACTTTTGAAACTGTGGCTATTTTACAATTATTGTAAATCATGCTATTTCTGATTTTTTTCCAAAAGAAAAATATGAACACAATTGTAGCAGCTTTTAAATTTAGAAGAAACCAAAAAAAAAAAAAAAATTCTTATCAACCATATTGTCCACTTTGAATTCAAATTAGAATAAAATAATCCTGGTATTATTGAAACCAATCTTTGGCGGTAATTTGCACTTTTCCATTACTGCTATTTTCTTTACTGGACAAAAGGACCAATAAACAGCAGCACCTCATTTTTCCACACTTTGCTTTAAAACCTTCCTTCTTAACTGTTCCACTCTTGTAAGCACAACCCATCTACACTTTTCTCTTCTTCATCTCCTCCTTTAACCTTTTCCCCTCGATTCTTTTTCTTGATTAGTTGCTAATTTTCATTTTTTAATCGATTTTAGTAAGCTCAATTTTGCTAACAATTTGTTTATAAGCAACTGTGTAAGACCAAGATTTCACTAACCACCTTGCAAGCCAAAGGTTTGATTTTTTTTTTTTTTTTTTTTGCTTTCTCTTTAGTATACAAACATTTCTTGAGTTGGGGTTTTTGGATTTTTTTTCCTTTTTTTAAATGGTTTTATCTGTACATATTGTTGTTCATTTCTAAATTGGGTGTTTTGATGCTGCTGTTTTTATTTTAATGAGCTTAATAATTAAAGTTAGTATAAATCTGACCCTGGTTAAAGATTTATCAGACTGGTTGTTTTGTATTGTTAAGAAATTTTTAATATTGTTAATTGAGTGATATACTCTTAAGTGTTGTTTGAATAAGAAACAACCTTGATATTGTGGAAAAAAGAGAATCTTGATTTAAATGGTAATCTCTCTGCTATTAGTTTTGAGATCTTTGAGAATTTTTACTTTGAAAATGTATTTTCTATGTTAAGCTGGAGGTGTTGTACTAGGTTCTTCTAGTGTGGATATCTTTATTTTTGCCTAATTAGATTATGGGTTGTTTTGATTTCTTATTTTGGATATCCCATTAGAGCTGCTTTTGGCTTTCCACAGTTCAGCTTTGATTAAAAGACATTCTGGATTTGGATTAAAGTCAAGAATTTGGTAGAAAAGACTTAAACTTTACTATAGAATTTTATCTTTTTAGCAAGTTAAAGTCACACATTTGGTAGGAAAGTCTTAACCTTTAGTGGAGAATTTTCCTTTTTGGTTACTTGATTCTTTTTGTAACTTTTCAGGATTCTTTGTTATGGTATGTTAATCTCGTGAATGCGATGATTGCTCATGCTAGAATTTATTCTGAGATTTCGAAGGAGTTTAAAAATACATGAGAAATATAAATCTGGGCAGGTTTTAAACAGTAGAAAATGAGAAAGAAAAACAAGGAGACACTTTTTTTGAAGCCATTCTCTTTGTAGTATTATTCCAATCAAATTCTTTCTATTTCCAACAGTATTAGCTCCTCCATTTGCTTTAGTTCTTGCATTATTTGAAGATAGTACCGTTTGAGCGCCTCACAAATTAAAGGAGGCAAATCCAAGATTTAAGTTTGAAGGTTCGTAGAACAGGCAATTTGGGAATAAGAGTTTCAGGAGAGAGACTAAGTAGTTACTTGAGAATATCGGGGCTTAATGAACAAAATAGACAAGATAATAAATAAATAAATAAATATCAGACTCATTTACTATCCAATGTAATAGGTTCCTTTCTGTATTCTCATAGTTTGCTGACTTGCTCCTTGTTTGGAATGAATTTTCTTCTTTTCAGTTTAACTTGTCAAGATCCACGGAACTTTTAAGCTCCATGGATCAGTTCCAATCTGGGAAACGGGAGTGTAATGTTTCTTTTTAGACTTGACACATTATCCGAAATATATCAGCTCTTGCACTGAACATGATGCTTGCTTTCTCAACTCTGAAATTTTAGGCTAAACTTTAAATTTTTAATTTTCTTCTATCATCGAACTCATGTGATTTTTTACATCTACTTATTGATGGTTACCTTTTATTCTCAGGTGATTAGTTCTCCAATTTTCCATATGCAGAGTGCCAGAAGTAGTGATACAACTTGCAGCAGTGGAATGTTGGAGCTTCATGGAGATATCTAATGCGCCTGAAGTTGAGCTAAAATGAAGACCACACAGGTTATATTATCTATATTCCAGAAGATTTCCCTTGCTGTGTTCAGATCTTTCATTTCTTGCTCGTACTTGGTTATATGTTGCATTGCCAACCTATCATTTTCTGAAAGTGTTAAAATGTTGCTAATTGGAGACAACATTCGCTCTATTAACTTGTGGTCAACCTCCGTAACTTTTTATTTGAAGGGCGAGGATTCTCTTATCTGCGATTAGGTTATCCGTTTTGTTCTATAATAAGTAATTACACAGAGATAGTCTATACTAAATAGGTGGTAGAACAAATTTTTCTGAAATTCTGAAGCTCTTGTGATTTTTGTTTAAAACATAGATTAAGTTGGTAAGTTATTATTCAGATATGGAATCATATTTTCATAATTTTATTATTTCACAATATATTGCAGGATCCACAGAACACTGTAGAAAAGAAACCGCCAACCCAGGCTTCTCATGAGACCCAAAATGACCCGCAGAACCATACAGCCGATACACCTGTAGCTGATGCAGGTTCTGTTTCTGCATCAGGCAATGATAATCGGAAAGTTTCACGTGAAGATATTGAACTTGTAAGACAGTCTCTAAGCACTTACTTTTGCCTAGATCATACATTGGGAAGTTGTGCTCGGGTCTTTTAACTTCATGATGACATGTTTATTGCAGGTCCAAAACTTGATTGAACGGTGCTTGCAACTGTATATGAATAAGGATGAAGTAGTAAAAACACTTCTTAATCGTGCAAGGATAGATCCTGGATTTACAACTCTAGGTAAGTACATGAAGTTATTGATGAATTTGTTTATGCATTGTGATTGTGGCTGCTTGCTTAATATATGCTATCTACTGTTTCACGTGTATTTTGACCAAGTATTTTCTGGTCTATGACTATGGTTATATTTTTATTTTATTTTTGATAAGGACTATGGTTATTTTCAGTTCCCAATTTTTAAATCTTTTTCATATTGTATCCAGTTTGGCAAAAATTAGAAGAAGAAAATGCAGATTTCTTTCGGGCCTACTACATTAGGCTTAAACTGAAGAAACAAATCATCTTGTTCAATCATTTGCTTGAGCATCAGTATCATCTAATGAAATATCCAGTGCCTCCAAAGGTTCCATTGACTCCGATGCAGAACGGGATTAACACCATGCCAGGTAAATTTATTTATCGTATGAAGGCGAGAGTTACTGCATTATTCTGCTTTCGGATTAGATTTTAAAATTTGAGATTGTCTAATCATCGATTACTAAGCCTTTTCTAGGTCCGTCTGTCCAATCTTTTCATTTTGTGAACAAGTTGGAGTGGCTGGTCTAGCTGAAGCTATGGCTTATTCAATTTTTCGAAGCTTCAAACCGTGCTAATTTTAATTAGCAAAGAAGCTTAAATATTTTGGCGGATGAATCAGTATCTTGTAGGAACTTGAAAATAATGTTCAACTGTATACAACATAAGGTTTTACAAAGTGTGTAGTTCATCTTGCCCTCTGCACTTCCTTTCTTCCTCAATATTAAGTAACATGGCCTTTCAAATTGTGGTTAAGTTACTTGAATAGAGCATGGGGAAAATGTTATTTTCAGAACAGGTTAACAGGTCTTTTTTTAGCTTTATTATCCTTATATTCATTGCCACTTCTTTCCAGTGCAGTCAACAACTTACCCATGGGATATCCCGTCCTTCAGCAGCATCCAGCTCCAGCTGCAGGTCAACCTCATCTTGATCCAATGGGCATGTCCAGCTGCCATGTGGTTAATGGTGTGCCAGCGCCAGGAAACTATCATCCCATGAGGATGAATTCTGGAAACGAGTGAGAATTTTTTCTTATATAGGAATTGGTTTTCCTTGATTCTAAAATTGGAAATTTATTTCGAAATAGCATTGAAGGTTCACATAGGTTAAAAATGAGTGTAGGTTGGTGAAAATAGTTACTTTATCTGAATATGTCGAAGTTACTTGTGTGTTGTAGCCCGTTTCTAGTTTTAACTCTTCTATCAAGGAAATGAGGTTCATTTCTTTTTCTTTCCAAAGATAAATAAATAATTAATTTGATGGTTGACGTGCATTGGCTGCTGGGATGAAAAGCTATTTATATTTGTTGGTAGAGACACGGCTTGACCAATAACGCTTTACAATTTTTTTCTGCTGACAGTATGGTGATTGACACCAGTGCGTCGGATGTAGCACCAACTATTCCACCTAGCAATGCCATGTCATCAATGTCAGATATGGCCGTAAGCCCTACATCAGTAGCTTCCAGCGGCCATTTTCCCTTTACAGCTTCAGAGATTTCGGGGATGGGAGTTGACACGTCAGCCCTTGATGCTGCTTTCCCATCTGATGTAGCAAGTTCAGTAGGATTAGAACTTCCACCAGATAATGGTGTTGGTAATTCTAGGGATTCACTGAGATCTTTCGCTCAGCTTCCTTGGAATTTCAGTCTTTCAGATCTAACAGCAGATTTGTCCAACTTGGGAGGTAAGTTTGCTTATACACAACTCAAACCTTTATCTCTGGTCATTAATTTGCAATGAGGTTCTACTCCCCTCTCACTCCTTTTGTGCTTCCTTTGATGTTAAGAAGAGTATTTGCTTTGAGAACTTTGTTCTTGTTGTCTTATTCGAAGCATTACGAATGAACTCTTTTAACAATTCAAAATAGGAAGTTTTATCAGAGTTGATGATACTCACCCAAAATCTGATCCAATGGCTTGTAATATTACAAATAAAGTCCATTTGCTAAAAAAGAGAGTTTATTTTGCATTATACTTCTGGAGTACTACAAGAAGGTTGCGATATGTTGCTCTATTTAGCACCAATACATGTATGAACTTTAATGTTTAATAGTCAATCACTGCAAACTGTAACGTTTGTTTTGGAGAAAGTATGGTAACTGTACACAAGATCAGTGTACTTCTAAGCCAAGTAGGAACTTTCGGCTGTTGTCATGAATTATCACAGTTAAATTCTTGCTTTTTCTCTAGTAATGCCAAAGATCTTTACTACTCGTTTTTTTTTAAGTTTGGGCCCCATAGTAAGATGTCTGTATCTCTGCTATTCGGCTTTCAGAAAAATTTTAGTCGTTTTCAAAGCGATGCCTCCCTTTGCCTTAGAGCCAAAGATATCTTCAGAATTTTCCAATTTCCCCGAAAGCTATCTTTCTGAAGTTTTTTAAAGATATGTTTATAGGTTCTATCAGCTGTGCGTTCCGTTAATTTCGTGATAAACAAAATGCTTGACAGGCAAACCGATAAGTGATTCATTATATTTACAGATCAGATACATGATATGTATTGGAATATATGACTTATAAAGTAAGTTGCAGAAGTACTAGTAGTGAGTACGATAATTTGTATGGGCTGCTTCTTCCAAGATGATTTTATTCATTTGCTTTTCTGCTCTGATTTTAGATTCTTTTCCTCTTTTATTCTGTCTGACACTTATTTTTTCTCCACACCGATTACAGATCTAGGGCCTCTTGGAAACTATCCTGGTTCTGCTTTTTTGCCTTCTGATTCAGACATTCTACTTGACTCTCCTGAGCAAGATGATATAGGTGAGATTATTTACTTTATTGCCCATCGAATGTTATGCTTTGAAATTTGAACCATAAACTGCGAGATGTTCAACAAAATGTTAGCATTAAGCATATCAACTTGTGTGCTGTTTTTTGCCTAAGTTATTAGATGCACTTTAATGGCTGATGCTGTGGTCTTTCGTGCTCCTAAATCTTCTTTCACGACATTGGACTATAATAGTGTTTTTATCTGGAATCTGACTTCTGATCCTCATTTAGTGCATTCTGGCTTTCATTTGTTGCATTTGCAGTAAACATGGTTTAATCATGTATAAATATATAAGTTAGAAGTAAACATTGATACATGAATGCTAGGGGTGGCAATGGGGCTAGGGCTGGGCATAATTTGGTAAATACCGAATTACCGTACCGAAACCGATAATTTTGGTATTTGGTATACGGTATTTTGGTATTTGGTATGGTATTTGGTTTAAGTTTTTAAAAAAATTGGTATTAGGTATGGTATTTGGTATTTTAAAATAAAATACCGAAATATCGATACCGTACCGAAATATAGATTATATTACACAAAACACATTATCAATTATAACATAAATATAAAAAATCTAAAATTTTACTTTCCTTTATTCTCAAAGTTCATCAATTAACTCTAAACAAGTAACAAGACATTTCTAATGATCAAATATTTTTTTATGTACAATTTTCTCTATTTGGGTTGATATTTGCTAGTTTTGGACAAAAATTTTGTCTACAAACATTTTCAGTTTTGTATTTTTGAGTACTTTAGTTAAGAATATTAGAGTGTATGATTCTATGCACTAGTTAGTATCCAAACCGAATAAACCGAAGTTACCGAACCGAAACCGAAAGGAGAAAAACCGAACCATACCAAATTTAATTAGGTACGGTATTGGTATAGGATTTTAAGAAACCGAATACCGCAAATACCGAACCGAAACGTCTAAATACCATACCGTACCGACCGACGAACACCCCTAAATGGGGCGGTGCGGGTGTGGGGAGGTGCGGGTTTGTGTGTTAGCGGGGCTGTGCGGGTTTGGGAGTTTGCGGTGCGGGGCGGGTTCAAATTTTAAATAAAAAAATCACGCGGGGCGGGGCGCGGGTTGGGGATTTAATTTTTTGAACTAACTAGTATTGTGTCCTGTTGAAGGTTCGTTAAAGTGCTGCTTTCATAACTAGTTTTTTTTCTTCTTTGAATATGAATTTTGGTGCATTTAACAGGAGAAGCATTAGTAATTTTTTTGTAAATCATTGCATATGCAAAATCCTTAAGCGCATTTAGATTTGACACGAAAGTGAGCAGAAAGTAAATCCTACATAATGGTCGGAATCTGTGTTATTTCCAAGTCACATGATGTGATTAGGGTGGGAGTTTATTTGTGTTATTAGCAAAAAAACCACAAAAAAGAGAATTTTTATTTAAAAAAAATGCGGGGCGGGGCGGGGCGGGGCGGGGCGGGTGAATGCGGGTTTAAATCCTATGCGGGGTGGGGCGGGGAGGGGCGGGTTGAAATTGTGTGGGTTCAAGCAGAACCCGCCCCGCACCCGCACCGCTTGCCATTCCTAATGAATGCGCATTGGTATATATGGTTGGACCTATACAAATATTATTAGTCTGCATTTCCATATGCTTAAAGGGACATTCTGGTGCACAAGGCATCCCGCGTTCACGCAGGATTTGGGCAAGGGCCGCATTCTAAGGGGTATTGACTCTAATGCAAGCATTAGTGGCTGCTTCCACGGCTCGAACCCATTTTCATATGCTTCTCTTTGAAAATTCCAATTTTTCTGGTTTCCTCTTTGAAAAAGCTAGAGGTGGTTTAGCTGTAGGGGATATACAGTAACCATCACAACATCATCGGTTTTTTCTTTTTAGCTCAAACAAATGTTGTTTCATCTGCTTTTATGTTTATAGATGATTTCTGCAGACTAGAGTTCTTATGTTTGCTCTCTTTATAACTGACTGTTCTCTTACTTGATTTGGTTTTTCTTTTTTTTGGTCAGTAGAAGAGTTCTTTGTCGATGTTGATGCCGATCCAGGACCAACATGTCAGTCAGATGAAGAGAAGTCCTAGCTTAAATTGAGATATTAATGTTGCATTTTGCGTTTGAAATTAGAATAAGTCTGTGTAAAATGATCATAAACTGATAGATTGATTTGATTTAGATGTGGCAGATATAGTTATTAACCTAATTTAGATATACCTTGGGTTGTTATTATCAGATCTTTATTTCATTATTAGTAGAAGCAGGAGAGGATATGTTCAGTTCCCTCCCTTTTTGATAATGAAAGTTTGTATCTTAAGATAGTCAACTTTAATCTTTCACAAAGGATATGTAATCCACATGTTGTTGTTGTTGTTGTTGTTACCTAAACAGGTTATCATTATGTTCTTTTTGGATAATTGAAATATATGTTATTAAAATTCAACTTTGCACTTGACAATCAGCCAATTATCAATATTGTTGTTTTAATTAGTGGGAGATGGCTAAGATTTGAAATCATGAGTCTGGAGTTGTTGGTGACCAGCCCAGTAGATTTAAATTCAACTTGAATATAAATAAATAAAAGATTGATTATATCAAATGTGGTCAGTTAATACTACTTAATAGTTATTTGGTCATATTATGTCTTGGTCAAGTATTATTATTTATTAGGTATTTGAAAAAGAAAAAAAAAATGCCATCGCTGGCGATCAAGTTGGCCTACACTCCACACTAACGGACTTAGATTTCGCTTAATTAAGCCCTAATCTAATTTTAATCTAAAAATTTATACATGTAAATTTTTGAGTCGTAAAAAATAGATATTTGCATTAGGATAAGCTATCTACATTACATCCTTCGGTTGCGGCTCTTCCTGAACCATGGATGAACGCGAGATGTCTTGTGGGTTGTGGCTCTTCCTGAACCATCGGTGAACACGAGATATCTTATGTATCGGGCTGTCCTTACACATGTCATTATTTTATATTTGCAATTCTTATTTTCAGTAAAATTATGCTGCACGTCTGCGATTTTCACAAAAATTGCTTCCTCCGGTCCAAAATAAGTAATTTTTTTGATGTTTTCACACAGATTAAGAAATCCATCTTTTAGCATTAATTAGCAATGAAATTGACCATATTAACCTTTACTATCTCACATAAATACTCCTAACACATACTCCAACACTATTTACTCCAAGGACAATGTAGGAAAAAATAATTAATTCATTATTGAAATCTGAAAAAATCACTTATTTTGGACCACAAAAAAAAAGACGAAAAAATCACTTATTTTGAATCGGAGGGAGTACCTATTACTCTCTCTTAATATGCGATTATTCTCAACTTCTTTTTTCTAAAACCCTCGTATATAATTGTTTTACTAAACTGTACAAACGTTTCTAAGTTGTCATAAGCATTACTCCCAAACGTCACGTACTAAAAACAATGTGTTCTTGTGGTAAATTTTGATTTATTCTGAAAGTAAAAACCGGAATGAGTGAAAGTGAAATCCTGAAATGGTTGGTGGGAGGGTAAAATGTATTTTAGTACTACTACTCCAAAATAAAGAGAGAGAGAGAATAGCTACTTACGCCGGCACCGGACTTTAGATTGAACGGAGAATTTAACGGCCGATAGGTATTTACTGGAAGCTTCTTTGTGATTCCTTTCTAGCTTTAGATTCTTCAACTGATTCATAAATTTAATTTGTTTTGTTAATTGCCAGGGAGGAGAAGAAGATGGTGAAAGCAATCATAGCGCCGTCGATGTTGTCATCGGACTTCGCTAATTTGGCATCTGAAGCACAACGCATGCTCAATTGCGGTGCTGATTGGCTTCACATGGACGTCATGGTAATTTTGTTGTTTATTTTCCTCCTTCCTCTTTCTATTTTTTTTTTTTTTTCATTTCTCGTTATTGCTGTTGTTGTTGTTGCTGTTTTTAATGATGAATTGTTTGATTGAAGTTGAAAAATAAATATTTTATTTAAGCAGAAAAGTTCTAGCTGTCTTCATTGCTGTTTATTACTGACTTAATTTGCTCTTGTTTTTACCATCTTCCAATTGAAAAGTTAAGAAACAGAATACTGTAGTAGGATTCGTTTTGTCTTTTTTGTTTTTTAGCTCAAATGTCAGTTGCTATTAGCGTTGCCCCAGAAAAGTGGAGGAATACAGAGTATTCATGCGGAAAAAAATACAGAGTATTCATGTATCGAACCCCAACTAACCCCGAATTGAGGCATAGTCGATTGATTGATAGAGTATTGGTATTTTGCTAGGTAGTTAAAGACAATTTTCATGTTGAACTAGCTGAGTATCAGGAAAATAATTGGAAACATCGTGTTGAAAACCTGGAGTGAGAAATTTTCCGAATTCCTCCAATACTTTCCCCCTTCCAATTTATTAGAAATAATGAGTATCAACGGTGTATAGGTTAAGTGCCATATGCTGGACCTTGTACAGGAAGACTGGGAGACAGTGTTGTGAAGAGCGTGAAGCGAGGAAAAGCGGCAACCCCCATTTCGCTTAAAGCGAGAAGCGAGAAGGGAAGTGCTCGCTTTTTTGAAGTGAAGCGGAATTTAAAAAAAAAATATTAAAATAAGAGGAAGGGCAGTATACCATTCTGTTAAAAACTGGGCAGCATAAAAACAGTGAAAGAAGAACTGGGCAGCATTTCAACGAAGAGGAGAAGACTGAGAAAGAAGAACCAAATGGAAAAAAAAAAATTGCCAGCATTTCACTGCTATTTGGACGCTGAAACAGTGAAAGAAAAAGAAAAAAAAGAAGAAGAAGAAAGAAGAAATCATCACATACCTGTTGCTGCTGGTCGTATGTTGAAGTTGAAAAGGGAACCCTAGTCACCTCTTTAGAATCTCTGTTGCTGCTGGTCGTGTGTTTTAATAAAAGAACACTGAACACCTTTTAATTAAATAGGTTGGCAGGTGTTTAAAACAGAGAAGCACTCGCTTCGGTCGCCTCGCTTCGCTTCGTCGCTTCTCGCCTTAGTGGGAAGCGCACACTTTTGTCTACCTGAGTCGCTTCATATAGCAGAAGCGGTAATGGGGTTGCCTCGCTTCGCTTCTTGCTTTAAGCGAGGAAGCGTCCGCTTTTCACAACCCTGCTGGGAGATAATCAATTTTTATGATTGCATATTTTACTTCGGGACCTTCTCGGTCCATTTAATGAAATATCTTTTGCTTGTCAAGAAAGAGACTGCATGGTTTACTATAGAATGACAGTTAAGAAGGTTTATTATACTTTACAAGGAAAAATAACTATAGGTTTCTGAGAACCTCCCAACGTTTACTTTACAAGGATATAGTGCTTAGCTACCTTCTTTATTTAGGTAAAGGTGTGTTTCTGAGGCCAGCCATATCATGTGAACTCATCACTCCAGGATAAACTAGGTGGTTGTACTAGCTCAGTTTCTTGTTTGCTAACTCGATAGCATAATGACCTAGCTAAATCGATCATAGACTCCTCAAAGTGGAAACATTGATTGGTTTAGAGTTCTATGCAAAGTGTGCTTCATATGCTTTCATTTGGACTGTGTTATTAGTATGTTAAGTCTTCTCTTCTTTATTACCTCAATAAGTTTGGGATGTAAAGTGCTGTGAAAACTTGTTCCTTAACTTTACTAGGCACTTCATTCATCAGCAGTTACTGAAATGTTGTATTGGTGCATTGCAGGACGGGTAGGTCAGATAGTCACGTCAAGCTGGTTGTTTACAACATGTTAAAATGATGGGTGGATACCAATTGAATAATACTTTCTTTCTTTTTTCTTTTTTCCCCACTTGGCTCTTTTGCAGTCACTTTGTCCCAAACCTTACCCTTGGTGCTCCCGTTATCGAGAGTCTGCGAAAGCATACAAAGTAAGGTTTCATGAGTGCCCTATTTCAACTTTATTTTTCTTGTCCATTAGTTATCTATCGTACAGTGAAGTTGTTCTAAATGTTAATTTAAATTTCTCCAGGGCATATCTGGACTGCCACCTCATGGTCACTAACCCCCTTGATTATGTGGAACCGTTAGGCAAAGCTGGTGCCTCGGGGTTTACTTTCCATGTTGAGGCATCTAGAGGTGGGTTTACTTCCCATGTTAAGAATCAGTTTTTGGCATTTGATTGGAAGTTAAATGTTAGTCACTGTTCACTAGGATTTGATAGAGATTGAGTGATGTATGGAAAGGATGTGAATATGGGATAGAGCGTGAGTAGTTAGTAGCTGAATATGCTTGTCTGTGCATGTTGTATTGGTAGTGGTGGAGCATCATCGCATAAATTGCTTTGTGCCCTCAAAACATTATGCTGCTTTTCTCTGTTGTGAAACATTTTGATTAGCAAATTCTTTTATTAGTTTATGCAGCCAAACCCTTAAAATTGGACAGCATTTTCTAGTAAAAGATTTTACGCTAAAAAATGGATCCTTAATTTCTATCAGTTTGTTATCATTACTTTGATTTCTGTTACGATGAAGGTTCTATTCTTTGCAGATAATTGGCAAGAGCTTGTTCAACAGATAAAGTCTAAGGGCATGAAACCTGGAGTTTCTTTGAAGCCTGGTACACCAATTGAGGAAGTGTACCCACTGGTATATCTTCATTATCGCATTTGTATTAGTTTCATTAGCAAAATTCGCATGATTTTCTTCATAGTTTGATCTCCTTGCTATGAACTAAGAGATTAAGATAGTTTTGAGAAGGAAATCACTTGTTGCCATTGCATTTAGTGAAGAAGGAAGAAATAAGATGTCAATCTACAAAATACCTGTCATGACTCATCAGCTTGCTTGTATGTTTTACAGCTTGATGGTGAAAACTCTGTCGAACTGGTCCTAGTGATGACTGTTGAACCTGGATTTGGCGGACAAAAGTTTATGCCAGAGATGATGGATAAGGTGCGAATACAATTTGCATTCTTGTATTGGATATCATTCATCATTTCTGCACTATAACTTAAGAGCCATTCTCTTTCAATATTCAGGTACGGACTCTCAGAAAGAAGTATCCATCGCTTGATATAGAGGTGAGCTTCCATTTGATGATGGTTCAATTCTGGTTTGAGTTATTCAGACTTCCATCGTGTTTTCACGGACAGTTCCCTCATGTGTTTGTTCTTTTCTTGAGTTATCAAGTAATCACCGGAAAAACTATGGCCATTCTTGCCACTAATAGCCTGTTTGGCCAAGCTGGAAAAATTAGCTTATTTTGAAAAGTACTTTATTCAAAGTGCTTTTCAGAAAAATACTTTTGGAGAGAAGCAGTTTGTATTTGGCTAATCAATATGAAAAGCACCTTTGAGCAATAATTTGTGTTTGGCCAAGCTTTTTAAAAAGTGCTTTTAAGTATCAAGTTTCGAATAAGGACATGAAGTGATTTACATAATAGTTAATATTATATAAGTAAATAAATAATCAC